TCCTTAGGTAAACAACTGTTTCCTTTAAAAAATCATCGTATTCTAGTAATAAAACAATACTTAATTTTAAAAAGAAATCTCGTTAAATCTCATTTTATAAAATTGGTGTAACGTTAAAAATTCGAACAGCAAAGGACAGTCCAATTTTTTGAGTCGCCGGTATGCAAAATCTAATTGGCATCGCGGACAGTTTTAGTTTTGGCGGTGATATTCCTTTCTTGAGGGGAATTCCACTGCGAAGTGGTTGCGAATTCTGAGCTCAGCCAATGATTGCGTGCCTGTTCGCCGTCCAAGAAGGGACTTAACAGGCTACTCGTTGGTCAAGCCGCCGTCGGCTGGACAGCGACTCACTTCGTCGTCCACTCTGGCACACCTGTTCACTCAGGTATGCGATATCCTCTCCTTTTCCCTCCTTTTATCCTCCCTTCCTCTCCCGTCGCCTCACCGCGCTCATCCCCCTTCTCTTTTTCTCATTCTCTATCCTCCTTTCTTCTCATCTCGCATCCACCGTCCTTTGTCTCTTTCCTACTGCTCATCGGGACACTCAGACGGTGGTTTACCGTTGTTTCGGTGATCCTGGACCGACGACGGTGTCGACTGGTCCATTCGTGGCCATGCAAACCTCTCAGCATAACCCTACAATTTTCCTACCCTGTAATGATCATCATTCTCGTCTCCCTGCACATGTTCGTCTTTCACTTGATACTCGATAATTTCGACTGATCGATATCAAATTTGCAACCAGGTGATGAATATGCGATTTGTCTAACGAATATTAACATGTTGCCCGCCACGGTGGTCACCGATGACTGGAGCTTCTCAATTACTTGGAAACAATTATAAAAATATTTGCTAACGCACGAAACTAAATGTCAGTGCAACTTGAGAACTATGACACCGAACCATTAATAATTCGTTGTCACACCATTCGTCTTTGTTACAAAAGAATAATATTAATTCGTCGTATCAATTACTTTTCAAACATCTTCATTTCCATATTGGATTGCAGATGACGGGTTCTGTAACTGTAAATTACAAGTGTTTTATTTTTACCTTGTGATACTTATATAAATGTATATATCTAAATATTTTTCATGGATTACGAAAATGATAAATGTTTATATTTGTATATTATATTTTCTATCCGAATAGTAAGCTAAAACACAGACACATACTTCAGTTTCCTTATCCGCTAGTGTCCCTAATGTGTAGTGGGTTGGACTCCAGGAGTCTCGTTAAAATACGTTTTCTTTCTTCTTCTTTTGCCGTCGCCGATGTTTACGGTCCCGACGAGTTTCCATTTATTACCAGGAGAAGCCCACGGGACTAGTAGTCCTGACAGTTTCAGATTGTTTCGGACCAATTCGAACGACTGGACAGGACAGTTCAGTCTATAAGGGGGATCCCCACCCCGAGAATGGGCTCTCGACCTGCTTGAACCGAAGAACCAGACAATAGGACGCCAGATCCTTGCCGCCCGGTGCACTTATCCTTTTCGGTGTTGGTCGTTTGTTGGTAGCTTCTCGTTTCGCACGGTTATACCCTGAAAAAAAGTGCTTGCTGGTTCCTGATGGAGTAATTCTTGATAAACCTGTACATGAGACGATACTTTCAAAAAAAACTTACAGGGTAATTTCCGGTGAGATAGCCCGATTTCCTTTAGATTGTTAAATATAATTATTTTCAATTCCTTTTAGCGGTATACTGAATTTTGCACCGATGCCTTTTTAACAATTCTTCTTATATGTATTTATTTTCATAAATATAGTTATCTTAGTTAGGTATTAATAATATTTATGATGTAATGATTCGTCTTGAAAAAAGTGGGTCATCTGTCCTCAACTTATGTTAACTGTCTATGTAGTCATGCAGCTTAGACATATAAAAGACTTTAGTATAAATATTTAAATTTAAATAAATAATATACGTTGACTACATAGTAAGTAACTATTTTTCGGCAGAAAACAGAGATCTTTACGTTTTGAGTTCGTTCGATTTAGACTATAATTTTGAATGCGTTATTGTTGCCAAAATTTTATTTATTAATAGGATACACGGTAGGAAAATAACTTTAATCACCTTGAAAAAATATAAGTTTTTTAATTATACACAATCTAACAATAAAGTGAAACAGAAAAAGACGTGTTCGCTTTACGTTTAATTAATTTCTAAAATTGTTATTGTACGTTATGAATTATTGAAATATGAAAGAGAAACAATTAAAAGAAAATTAATTCCTAAAGTTTTCGTAGAATATCTGTTTCAATACCCGTGTTCCATCTTGAAGTTTCCTGTACCTATAAGATGGACATTTTTCAGAAAAGTTTTGGCATCCATATTTTTCCAACAATATCATTCTAGTGTCTTCCTCGTTTGTCATATTCCATATATTTTGGAAGTAGATCGAATAAGTAGTAACGTCATTCGTCATTGAAAATGTCCAACCACATATGTATACCTAAAAATTCAATTACTTTTACATTTTTACTTTTTACGTTTAGTAATAATTTCTTTTTTATAAATTCAATCCATCATCTGCCCTATGAACCCACTGTTATTCGCGTTATTACAATTTTTGTCTGCATGATTCACAAGCTCCGCTAATTCTGACTAAAAACAACACTTTACGACTTTTATGGCACCATATCTTTTTACTTACAGTCTTCCCTAAAATTCGTGAACAAGTATTCATTGTGTCGAAGATCAATGCAGACATCTTGGCTATGTGTATATCTCGTATTGCCTCGGTTTTTTTGTAATCCTTAGTATAGTTGTCGAAGTCGTCGATTAGGAGTACGGTAGGCAAGGTGGCGAATGTGTGCAATTTGGTCAGTTTTTCTACTAGCATCTCGTAAGTTTCTAAGTACCTGGATTAACAAGTTTCTCTGATCAGTTGATACTTGTTTAATCTTTCACTTCTGAAGTGGTAAAAATGAAAAAGGAATTGGTATATTCATGACATTTATTATTTATAACAATAAATACTTAAATGATATGAAGGTACTACTAGCAAAGAAATTTTGTCTAAAACTACTCTCATTTTATGATCTATGCAAACCCTTTTGCCTAACGTTTGGTCTTTCTGCAAAATTCTTTATATACACATATTTCTTGCTTAAAAATGAAAAAAAGCTTCGTTACTTCCAGTAATAAATAGAATATTCCTTTAGAATAACAATTACGTATAAGTGTTTAGAATTATCTAGTTTACAGTTTATAATTTTTTCTATAAATGTATAAGAAGAAAGCAAACTAAAAAGTTTTTAAAAACGACAGGGAATAAAACCTATGAAAAATAAAATATAATATTCATGTAACAGAAGCGTTACCTCTAATAAATGTTTATTTAGCTTGCAATTTGAGATTCTTTTTAAAAATCGATAGCTTAGAATATATACAGCTCTAAGAAGTGTACAGACTTCTGGAAATAAATGGCGTCGTATAGATCAATTGAAATACTTTATACGCGTAATGAACATTTCATCGAGATTTATGTATTCATAAATAACATCACGTGTCATGAGTAGCACAGTATGGTTTCTACAATATTAAAACGCAGCAATTACAAGAATTTTCCTCTTTTACCAGAAACCCTGTTCAACGAATCTTCGCGGTCACTGTATCTCCGTTTGAAAAATAAACGTACGAGGAAGGAAGCAGCTGATTTGCGACGATCCTCGTCTGATTGTTTATTCCGCCGTTCCTGTTGCTACCACGATGAGTCAAACATAAAAATCGCGATGTCTGTTGTTTATTTAATGGCCCCGCAGAAAGAATAAACCTGCCCAAACTAACGTATAATATACACGTGTAATATTATCTTTCCTAGATCTGACAAACAAATTCTCCAATGTGAATCAGACGCATCGAAAACGTGATTTTTTTCCAGTTTCTTTTAATTTTATCCACCTCGTTCCAAGCATTTTAAATTTTCACCCCACAATATTCTATAGAACACTCCGAAATTTTAATAGTTCATAGATATTTGCAATCTATTAAATTTAATTGTGTATTTCTATAATTTTTCAATCGTAAAGATTGACGATAATTACGCTATAGTTGCTATCGTATGAACTATGGGTAACAATTTTTGCAACACGCTCTAATAGAATATTTATAATCTCTGATTAAATAAATACGTTTATTTAATGAAATTCCTAAATATACAATGATGAAGTAATAGAGTTTCAAACTGTTCATTCAAAAATTCTCTTCAAAAATATTTCCGAAAATCACCATGTTTTCAAGTCGTCAAGGTAGGAAAGTCCCTTAACTTGGGCCACGTGTGTATGAGAACAAATGCCATCAGCAATCCACTATACAGCATTCATCAACGTTATCTTTCTCTTGGAAAGTCCCAGGGACAAGGTTCGCTGGTGAGCTTCGAGTGAAATTTTTCAATAATGTCCTAGTCCATGTCATTAAATGATTTATTGCGTGTTTACATATGTTTCCATCGTGAAAACATTTCCAGTGAATTAACATTTCCGCAGGATAAATATGAATTATAATAAAATAATCAAATACTTAAGTCAATCGTATACGTTTATGTGTATCAGAGACGCTGATATCAATATTTACTAAGTAACTCCAAATTGTTTAATATTAATTTTGACAATATCACAATGGAAACATCAGTAAACAGTTACAGATATTTTTTGGTAAAAACGAATCTAAATCTGATAATTAACCGGATAGTGGTATCGACTAATGAGTTAACCAAATATAAGAAAAAATTACTCTCTCTTTAGATAAAAAGACATTACTGCACGTTACATGTAGAATATTTACGATATATATTTACCATATTTTTGCTTCCTTACTATTCTTGAAATTGTTTATTAGAGGAAACATAGTTTTCTATGTGATGAACGATTTTATTACCGTCAATATCACTTAAAATGGTAGATCCAATTGTACTGACACAATTTTTACTTATAATTCGATTTTGTTATATAATTAAGGTTAAAATAATTATTCATTTAATCTACAATATTTCGAAAACTATAGTTTTATTTATAAACTAAACATACTTAGAAATAATACCATAAAATCGTCAGATATTAAATATTGTATGTATCTATCTAATTATAGGTAATTCAAAGTAATTAATATTTTAAAATTTGAAAGACAACTACCTTCATCTATAATATTTTCGAAATGACAAGAGATCAATTTAAATAAATTTTCAGACCAAACTTTTAGATATACTGTTTGATTTTCTTAGTAATAAATTACTTGATCCTCGCTTATTGATTCCTTCCTTTCGACTCGTTTACATTAAGACTGTTATTTTATACTTGAAGGGCAAAAAATAATGAATCGGAGCCACATTATTTTTTATTTGATATTCTGAGTTTTCCATCTACACGGATAATGAAATCAACTCATTTCCGACCCTAATCGCACGGAACATTTAATCAACATTCAGAACACGAATCCGAGCAACCGAGGCGAAAGCGAGATCAAAATATTCTTGAAATAAAGTTTAGTCAAGTGAACATAAATCCGACGCTCTTTTTATAGGAACAAATCTTGAAGGCCGATGCACGTGCAGAAGCACCGCAAGAAAAGTGTTCCGCTTACATAAATCTCATCAGCTTGAAAGCCGCGGGTACTGGATTACTTCTGTCGTGACAGGCAGCCGGCAGGCTATCCAACGGGGTTGGTGTAATGTAAACGACGCGGTGTCCTTCTTCGGCCCAGTAAATTGCTGCCTGTGAAGGAAAACCTGATTCCGGAAATGTCGGGACCGCTCGTAACAAAACAGACCCGTAACAAGTACTGACCGCATGATATCACGCTTAACGGATCTTACGACACACTATGAACTGTTCGAATATGACGCGTGCATACGTTTGTTAGTTTTCGTCTCTTTGCGCTATTGTGAGCAGCACATCGCACAAAAAGTATTGGTAATGGTTTACGTATTTGTTACTGGCACACGTTTTCAAATATCGTAAAATTTTCTAATGACTCAATCTATTGTTTACAGTAACTGTAAACATTTATAATGTTAGGTCCTGACTTTGAGTTCAATAACTGATCAAACGGATATTGATTTTTGATATTTGCGACATATAACATTACTATCATAAATGTGAAGTTTTTATTTTAGGGAAACTGCTAATATTTTGTTGTATTGCATCTGAGTTTTTAAAAAAGCAGTTCTGCTTTTATTTATGTAGAAGATTTACAGTTGTTATAATAATAACATGATGGTATTGTTAAAAAAATAACAGCGATCGCTCAAACAGTTCAATACTACTGGGTATGTAGATAAGTAGTAGTCGTCAGATATTTACATATTTAGAAAATATAATATAAAAATATCAAGGTTTCTCTTTGTTACGAGTCCTAATAAATGGGTTCATTGTAATGTAGTAGAATCCCGTATAACGCGATTAATACGTTAGGTGTTGTATGAATAGTGTAAAGTAGCGTGTTTTGAATTATTATTAGATCAACTTTTGTTTTCCACGTTCTCGGAAAAATGAAAGAATTAAAGAACGGAAAAAGTCAGCAACAGTGACGGAGACAATATAATGTTCAGTTAAACCTTACTCCATCTTTAAATGCGCGAAATTCCTGCATTTTATTACAGATCACGTTATACAAGGGTTTACTGTATTTAATGATTTTATTAAATTTACCTCGAACATAAAAGATTTGTTTAATTCCGCAGACCCGCAAAGTAAAGTCGATTTAACATTATGCTTAGTTGAAAGCATTCTTTACTTCGATTGCTAAAATTATAATTAGGTTATGTGGTTACCGGAATTGGTAATATAAATAGTTTCTTCTTTTCTTATAATTATGATCATAAACCACTAATATTTACAAAAATATATGTTAACATTTCACGGTTTTCTATTGATATATCCCTTTCGTGCAATTTTCTTGTTAACACGTGTCACGAAAGAAGTCCAAACTGAAAATTCTCCGCAAGTTACTAACAACGACATCTTTGAATAGCACTCATAACATAGTTGTCAAGACCACAGACGAGGTATAGGATAGCATTGCAAGCTTATGGGACTCGATGTTACATGTTCTGAATTACCGATTGAGCGGGAAATCAGAGGTTTTACTCTACTTTCTACGCCTAGAGAACGGTCAATAGGAAAACTACATCAAGCAGCATGATCGAAGTTGATCAAATGGTAAATATGGTAAACCAGCATAAAATGTATCTATTATATTGTTGCCATATCTTCAAACTTTCACGCGCGAAGCTAAGTAAGTATTTACTTAAGGAAGTAAATACTTACTTCATTTTTGCTACGAGTGTGTGATATGATTTAGCGACACAAATATATAAAGGGCCCCATACACGTTGAAACATGCATTGATGCCAGTACTGGTACTCGGTTGGCACCACTGTAAGTGTTACGGAAATGTAGAGGGGAAGGGTCAGACAATCGCCGGCTGTGGGAGAAAAATTTATATTGCATCTGCAGTCAGTGGTTTGATGCAAATGCTGTGCGGGTTATGGAAACGTAAACAGAACTCGGCTATTTTCTTGATTTATTTACTACGTGTTTAGTATAAATTTTAAATTGAAGTATGAGAAAATTCAATTTAAAAACAATGATGTCTGCTTTTACATATTAAATTTTATATATTTTTATCTTTGAGTGAGACTTTTATGCTAAAAAATGGGCAGCGAAACTCAGATCACCAATATCGTCAGTGATATTTTGGTAAGTGTTTATTCTTTTATTATTAATTTTTTATGGTATATTCAGATTTTTTATGGTATATTCTATTGAGCGTCGTACATTGGTCATAATGATGAATATTATTTGTTTAACAGTAAGTAGTAAAAAGTTAGAATTTTGATTCTAGGTTGAAATATAATTATAATTTTCAGTCAACTTTCTCAATTAACTTTTGCAATAAATTTCAAAATTTGTGTTAATAGAAATATAGTATTCTTATTCCTCTTAATTAAAATCCACCAGTGCATTCAAATTCATTTATAGCTATATTACCATTAATTTTTGTAATACTATTACAGAAAGTAGAAGCCATAGAAGAAGCATTTAGTTGTGTGCTTGTGCACCATCCAAATAATGAAAGTGAAAAAATATCATCATGGCAAAAAGAGTTGACATCTGCTATGTCAAATTTAACTAAGGAACAGCAAGAAGGTGCTGTTCGACAATTTTTATCTATGGCAGCAGCAATGACAAATCATAGACGATTACAATTGTTATTATCTTTGCTTGAAAATCTAGTAACTTCTAATGTTTTACCGTCAAGGTATGTATCATCAAAAAATATTATGAATATATATGGAGGTTGTACTTTGAATAATTCAATTAAATAATCAAATTGTGGATGTTTCTGTTCTTAAAGTATGTTCAAATATGCAATTACATTAACAATGTGTAACAGAAATAACAATTCTATTTATTATTGAATATAATCAATAATTCATTTATTACATCAATAGTTAATTAACGATCCATAATAATAATCAGTTAGTATACAGATGTAAGATAACATGTAAGTAACTAACACGTTCCTTTTTTAGACTTGTATGTGAATGTATATTAAGTTGTGACAAACTACAGTACCAATTAGAAGACTTTTGGGTTGAATGTTTTGTCCTCATACGACATATTATTGGAGGGGTTGATTACAAGGGTGTTAGAGAAATAATGAAAGTAAGTAGTACTACAAACATCAACTTTGCAGCTACATAAAAGCAAATTAGTGAATTTTTATAATGTATTATAGGGTTGCAAAGAAAAAGCACAAACTATTCCTGCTAGATTGAATGCATCTGTTCAACCACAATTGAAAGCATTAGAAAATGTAATTGAGTATATTTTCGATAGGAATGCTTGTCTGTTGCCAGGCTATTTTATTGTAAATGAAATTCAGAAGGCTTTTCCAGATGGTAAAAACTGGCCACACTGGGTATGTCATTTAAATAATAAAATTTACAATATTTTGTTGCATTTAAGTACATCTTGTATTATGGTTTTTTCAGAAATTAGCAAAATTACTTTCAAATTTTGTTGAAAGTTTTCGTACAACTGCACAAATGGTATCTATTGTCGGACATTCAAAAATGTTACCAGTGGTAGAGCATACTGGCTATGCAGATTTAATTAATCCTTGGGTACTTGACACGACAACCTTAAAATTTTCTTTGAAAGGAAATTTGCCTTATGATGAAGATCTACTTAAACCTCAAACTGGATTACTTAGATACGTTTTAGAACAACCCTATAGCAGAGACATGGTGTGCTCAATGCTTGGTTTACAAAAACAGGTATATTATTGATTTTTTTTAGAAAAAGCAATTTAGTTTTTTTATTAAGAAGAACTTAAAAATCTTATATTTCTGTATATTTTAGCAAAAACAAAGGTGTGCAGCTTTAGAGGAGCAATTAGTTGAATTAGTTATTCTCGCCATGGAGCGTGCAGAGAATGAAACACTGCCAGCTGAAGGAATAGATGGAACTGTTGCAAATCATTATGTATGGTTGCATCTTTCTTCACAACTTATATATTTTGTACTTTTTTCATACGCTTGTTTCCCAAATATTGTGATCGCAATCCACGATAAATTGGCAGGCAGAGATTTGAGAAAAGGAAGAGATCATTTAATGTGGGTCTTACTACAGTTTATTTCTGGAAGTATTCAAAGAAACCCACTATCAAACTTTTTGCCAGTATTAAAATTATATGATCTTCTTTATCCCGAAAAAGAACCTTTGCCTGTTCCGGATTACACTCAGGCACTGTGTACTCATCAAATGGCAATAACATGTATATGGATACATTTATTGAAAAAAGCTCAATCTGAACACTCAAATATCCATAGACCAATACCTCACACTTTAAAGTTACATCATGAATTTTTGCAACATCTGGTAATGCCAAATACTTCCCTTTGTATGGGTTCTGACTATCGCATCGCATTATTGTGTAATGCGTACTCGACGAATCAAGAATATTTTGGTAGACCAATGGCAGCTTTGGTCGATACTATACTTGGTACACAGAAAGGTCAGCAGCAACAACCAATGCAAACATTACAAAATAATGCATCTCTTGCAAGTGGTCCAACTACACCATTGTCTATGTCTATTTTGGATTCATTAACAGTTCATTCAAAAATGAGCCTTATACACAGCATTGTTACCCACGTTATTAAATTAGCTCAGTCTAAGAGTAATATGGCATTAGCACCAGCATTAGTGGAAACGTATAGTCGATTATTAGTGTATACCGAAATCGAAAGTCTTGGTATCAAAGGATTCATTAGTCAATTACTTCCAACAGTTTTCAAATCTCATGCATGGGGAACAATGTATACCCTCTTAGAAATGTTCAGTTATAGGATGCATCATATACAGCCCCATTATAGGGTGCAACTTCTATCTCATTTACACAGTCTCGCAGCTGTACCACAAACTAATCAAACACAACTTCACTTGTGCGTAGAAAGTACTGCTCTACGTTTAATTACTGGCTTAGGATCTGCCGAAGTGCAGCCACAGTTATCTAGATTCTTGTCAGAACCAAAAACCCTTGTTTCTGCAGAATCTGAAGAGCTAAACAGAGCTTTAGTATTAACTTTGGCACGATCCATGCATGTCACGGGTACAGGATCAGATAGTCACAGTGGTACATGGTGTAAGGAATTATTGAATACAATAATGCAGAATACACCACATTCGTGGGCGAATCATACTCTTCAATGTTTCCCACCAGTTCTCAGTGAATTTTTCCAACAAAATAGTGTACCGAAGGAAAATAAACAGCAAATAAAAAAGGCAGTAGAAGAAGAATATCGAAATTGGGCTTCAATGAGTAATGAAAACGACATTATAGCGCATTTTTCTGTACCTGGGACACCACCTTTATTTTTGTGCCTTTTATGGAAGATGATTTTCGAAACTGATCGTATTAGTCCAATTGCATATAAGATTTTAGAAAGAATTGGCGCTAGAGCTTTATCAGCGCATCTCAGAAAATTTTGTGATTATCTTGTATTTGAATTTGCTAACAGTGTGGGTGGTCAACACGTAAACAAATGTGTAGATACAGTCAATGATATGATATGGAAGTACAATATAGTGACCATTGATAGACTAATTCTCTGTCTAGTCCTAAGAACTCATGAAGGCAGTGAGGGACAAGTATGCTTTTTCATTATTCAGTTACTTTTGCTTAAGGCCATTGAATTTAGAAATAGAGTTCAAGAATTTGTCAAAGAAAATTCTCCAGAGCATTGGAAGCAGTCAAATTGGCATGAAAAACATCTGGCATTTCATAGAAAGTTTCCAGAAAAGTTTGCTCCTGAAGGTATCATGGAACAAACTAGCGGTGGTCCTAGTCAATATCAGAGTTTACCTGTTTACTTTGGAAACGTGTGTCTACGATTTTTACCAGTTTTTGATATTGTTGTACATAGATACTTAGAAATTCCTGCCGTGTCAAAAAGTTTAGAAACATTATTAGAACATTTAGGATGTCTATACAAATTTCATGGTTGGTATATTTAACACTTATATATGTAATACTATTTTTATATTCCGGCTAGTTTCTGTAATTTTAGTTTTATGTATTGAATTTCAGACCGACCCGTAACGTTTTTGTATAATACATTACATTATTATGAACGTAAGCTGAGGGACAGACCGCCTTTAAAACGGCGTCTAGTGTCTGCGGTTTTAGGTTCATTAAGAGAAATTCGAGCTCAAGGATGGGCCCTTTCAGAAGCTTATCAAATGTACATGACCAGATCATCTGATGATGTTGTGACGTGGATGCCAGAATTGGATTACTATATTCGTTTAGTACGCAGAATTGTAGAAAGTAAGTTTATTTATTCATTTATTATTAGCATTTTTTTTATTTTGACATTTTTTTACACCAAATTTTTTTTAAAGCGATGTCAGGTATAGCTCATTTTCCCAATACTGATTGGAGATTCAATGAATTTCCAAATCCAGCTGCACATGCACTATATGTTACATGTGTGGAACTCATGGCAGTTCCAGTTGCTCCTAATTTGGTCGCTAATTCATTATTGGACGTGGTTGCAAAAGGGTAAGATAAAAGAAGTTACTCTGATTTATATTTTTAAATTTTATAAAGAATTATGACTAACTAGAATAGTATATAATTAAAATAAAATGTTTTAGGTACACTGTGATACCATCAGATGAAATTCATTTATGGATAAATTGTGTGGGGTTGTTATTGGCTGCTTTACCAGAATGTTATTGGTCAGCACTACATGATCGATTAGTAGAAACTATAAATAGCCCAGGATTAGCAATTTGGCAATATAATAACTTGACACCATTTCAAATGTTTAATTTTAATAGTACTCATAATAGTTTATTGGAAAACAAATATAGTTATATGTTGGCATTAGCACATTCTGTGTGGCATCATGCTGGCGCTGGACAAATTACTACTATGCCACAGTAAGATTAGTATTCAATATAAATATACATTTATAATAGCAATTTTTATGTTAGAAAAAATATAAATTTATTATGTTTTAGGTTTATTAAAGAAAAACTTCAACCAGTAGTGAATAGTGAAGAACAATTAATATACGCTTGTCATTTAATTGGACCTACTTTGGCTAGGTTTAATGCTGAAAGACCAAACTGTGTTGTAGAATTGACAGTCCGTTTATATGAAATGCTTGAACAAGTAGATCGACATCAAACTCATTTAAAGTATATGGATCCAGTTTGTGATTTATTGTATCATATAAAATATATGTTTGTTGGTGATATGATGAAAAATGAAGTCGAATGTATTACACGAAGATTAAGACCAGCTTTACAAATGCGGTTACGATTTATTGCACACATAAACATAGATGAAATTCAGTCTTCCTGAGACATACCAAACACAAGTAATATGGAAGTGAATGTATGATAGTATTAAGGATGTGAATCATATACATTTTATTTTAAGGATCTTATTTAATTATAATGAAATTATTATTTATATCATGAAAAACTTTTTTTAACGTATTGTATATATGTCAATATATATATGTATATTTTACATAAAGACATTTTCTAGGAAATCTAATTACACATGTAAACAAAAAATAAAAATGTTCTCATATGTAACATCAAAACAAAATTTAGTTTGTACTGTCTAAATAATGTGTATGTAGTTATTGTAATAATTAATCATCCTAGAAGTAAATAAGTTCACTCATAAAACAAATTTAAATATTTGTCACAAGAAAATTTGATTTCAATCTGTATATAAACGTACCAAAAAGTCAACAGAAACGATATATAAAAACTTTTCAATCAAAATAGCCAATTTATTCATCTTCTTGCCACGTGAGTCTTTGGGACTTTGTTTTGGGTTGGCTACCTGAAATAGGTGCAAAAAAATGAGTGATCCAACCTTCCCTTAACGAGAGGGGCATAAATCAATATAGTTAACCGTGTAATTTTGTTGCGTTTGTTTTATGAAGGTATAAATATACGAAGTGTTTCCGAAATCATAGTAAAACTGAGAAGAAAATTATTCTATGCGAAAAACTGCGTAGAAAATATAAAATAATAACTTTTCATATGATTCTTCGTCCTTCAGATAATCAAAGTTTTGGTTTCAATTATAGAACAACGGTATTTGAAAAAAATTGGTAAAAATTTGAAGAAAACTATTCTTCTTTAGAATAACTTTTTTAATCGATAACAATTTACTGAAACGTGCAATTTGTATATTCAAACATTTATTGTTATGTGTTCGCCATTTGGAGTTCAATTCATTTAAATCGTATGCGCACACGCATTTTTGAGTTTGGAGCTATATTCACACAATATAACCTGTGTAAGATTTGTGTGTGTACACTGAACTGGTTCTTGAAAAACGCCGGATTTCATCTTTGTGAGAATTTTCTATGATAATATTTAGTCAAAACTGTACTGTTAATATTGCATATATAATTAAAGTATCGCATACAAATAAAATTTGTCACTGAAGTATGATACTTGTATATATATATTTTTATTAGTATTTATATGTTATCCATTAACATTTCATAATGGTATTACATAAATTGCATAAATTACAGTATATAAAATAAAGGAAATAAATTGTATAGATATGTTTAGATTTTGATAAGTGAGCTTTATTTTATTTTTGTAGTTAAGCATAGCATAAAATATTTAAGTGTTACTTAATAAGTATAATAATTGTTTTTATTTTTAATGTTACTTCAGATTTACAATTGTAATTTTTAAGTAAGAATGGCTAATATTACTGCACATGATATATTTAAAATACCACGCACAAAAGACATTAAAATACAGGAGAATGTCACATTTTATCAAATGGGTTTTTCTCAAAAAATTTTGGATGGACTATCTGTTTGTGGATTTCAAAAGCCTTCCCCGATACAATTAAAAGCTATTCCTTTAGGAAGATGTGGATTTGGTAGATATTATTTCTATTTAATTATGTGAATAATATGTTATTACCAGCTTATAATTGTAATATTATTTAATCGTTATAGATTTAATAATGCGGGCTAAGTCAGGAACTGGAAAAACTTTAGTATTTTGTGTAATAGCACTTGAAATGTTGGATATACAAATATCATCTGTGCAAGTATTAATATTAGCACCTACCAGAGAAATTGCTGTACAAATTTCAGAAGTATGTTCATCATTAGGATGCGAAATAAAAGGTAAATTTCCTAAAGAAACATATTTTTCTATACAAAATTTTAATTATGTAGCAGATAATATCATTTTATCATTTCAGGCTTAAAAGTTGAAGTATTTATTGGAGGAATGACTTTGGATGGTGATAAAAAGAAAGTAAAAGGTTGTCATATAGCTGTTGGTGCTCCAGGTAGAATTAGACATTTAATCGATAAAGGACTGCTAACAGTTGAAAATGTAAGATTATTTATTCTTGATGAAGCAGACAAGTTAATGGAAAGCAGTTTTCAAAAAGATATTAAGTTAGTATAATTACAAAACCATATAAATATAGTTTGGTATAGTTAAAATAACAAACAAAAATTATATTTATATTTAAAACCTTTCAGTTTCATTTTTTCAAAATTACCATTGAATAAACAAGTTATAGCATCAAGCGCTACTTATCCAGGTGATTTGGAAAGCTTTTTATCAGCATATATGTGCTCTCCAGTTCTAACATCTCCAGATAATGATGGACCTGTACTTATTGGACTTAAACAATTTGTAGCATTTGTTCCTTTTCATCCTAATGCAATGCAACAGGTTTGAGTTGTTTGTTATAGTATATCTAAATACATTTGTATACCATTATTATGCTATAAAATATTTATATATACTTTTCACTTTAGGTCCAAATAAAAGTAAATGAACTAAAAAAAATATTTAATAAAGTTCCATTCAAACAAAGCTTAGTTTTTACAAATTACCAATCAAGGTATGTGTTGTATATATTTATTAGAGTATGTTCTTACTTTAAATGAGATCTCGTTTTTAATTGCAGAGCACAATCAGTGTGTAACAAAATTACTTCTATGGGTTTTACAGCAACCTATATTGCTGGGAATCAAGATATGACAAAAAGACTTGAAGCAATTAATAAATTGAAAACATTTAAATGTAGAATAATGTTAACAACAGATCTAACTGCGAGAGGTATAGATGCAGACAATGTGAACTTGATTGTTAATTTTGATCTGCCGGCAGATGCAGCAACATATTTACATAGAATAGGAAGAGCTGGACGTTACGGATCACATGGTATATCGATAACAATAATAGCAGAGAATGAACTTGAAACGTTCAAACAATTATTAGCCTCAGTTGGTGATTCGAATTTTTATGTATTAAAACTTCCAACAAATTATCCAGATGATATTTGGACTACTCCTGTTACCAAATTTGACAAAATTTTTGCAAACTCTCATATTAAAGAAAACTCACCTAAAACTGGCATGTCTACTGCAAGTGTAAATAATTTAATCGTAACAGATGATAAGGTTGTGGAATATAACAAAATTTTAGGAAATGAAACATTAAATAGTATGAATAAGGTAACTGTAAATAATGTACAGCCTTGTGGTGTAGAAAATGTGAAAAACAGCGTATTTAAAACTACTAATAATTTCCATAAAAGTTCTTTTAATTTAAGTGATAAAATAGAAGTTAGCTCTTTATTTTTTGAAGACATTGATACAATTACACCTCCACCTGTAAAGGAAACTGAAGAAGACACGCTTAAATGTTACAGTCAGTCAAAGTTAAAAGTTATACATAAAATTAAATTAGACCCCATTTCAAATAATCCTTCCAAATGGCAGAAATCTAATGAAAATAAGGAGTTTGAAGTTGATTTGACAGATCTCCAAGAAGATGATTTATCTGATATTGATATTGAAAACGTTGTTGACTACCTAAGTTACAATTTTCGTACTAAAAAATTAGAAGGAGAAACGGTATGTGATGATGGCATAAATATTGCTGCAATTTCTGAAAATACAGTATCTACTGGAACTGAAGAACTAGCATCAGCCCAAAATGCTGAAGATGAAATAAAGGAATTGATTTGTTGTTTCAATGATTATGTGACTAATTATGGTAAATGTGATAGTTATACAGACTTAGAAGAAGAGGAAGCACAAGTCAAACAGGCAACTACATGGAAGAAAAAATTGGACTTTGAAATTAACTTATTAGATACTACAATGAACATCATGAAAGAGTCTGTTCAAAAATTAATATATTTTGAACATATTAAAATGCTAAAAACGTTCTATAATATACAAAAGCGAGCTGTTTTGTGCATTTATCCAGAAATACGGACTGAAGATGAAGTAAATGATACTTATTTATATTCTGGATCCATAGATGGACAATTACTACAGGTATATAAAGAAATAGAAGATTTTAAAAGTTTGCATAGAAAGTCGGGTAAAGAATTCTGTGCATACTTTCCATATCCGATTAAAGAACATGAATATATGCCGAATCTTATGTTTACTGAAAAAGATATGGAAGATTATCGCAATGCATTACGATATTTAAAGTCTAGTCCGTATCCAAGAGAAAAATTATTGCCGATAATAAATTTTGTAGCATTTATTAGCGAAAACACACACTATGATATATTAAAAAAATTACAAGTTCAAAAAGAAAAGTCATTTGATGAATTATTAGAAACAATACAAAACAATGCATTAGATGAAAATAAGTGTATGGAATATGAAATCGATTCATCAAAAGATGTTGGCAATCGTATTCAAAATTTTACTAGTTCAGGAGCATATTCTTTAGATAGTCAATTTATTAATGTTCAACATTTGCAAAATGCTGTTAGAAAAGAAAATATAACTATAAATGAAGAAGAAGTGGAACAAATAAAAGATGCACACAGTTCCCCTGATAATTTTAATTCTTCAAATTCAACAGAATGCATCAATAATTCAGTTGATGTTCAAAACAGTTCTTCACTAAGTGAGAGTAATAATCTTAAAAAATCTAAATTGAATGAAAAAGTAAACACGAAGAGCAAATTTTATAGATGGAGAAAAAGTCAGAAAAAAAGTAATATATCTATTAAAATAAAAGAATCAGCTCTGCGTAGAATTACACCGGTTTGTGGAAACAATATTTTATACAACAATGATTCATTTTGTAATAATCCTGATTTATTGAATAAGCACCCTGAATCAAAAATTCAATTAAATTCATTAAAGTATCTTACAGCAAATCATACTGATGTATCTTCATTAAAAATGAAATCAGATTTGTGTATAAGGAATAAACAACAAGGTATTCAACATGTACATGATCCACAAATCGAGACATTCATGAATAAATCTCAGGAATACCAAGAACATATATCAAGTGAATCTACTTTTACACCAGTAAACAATTCTTTAGAAGAATATTGGACTAATAAAGCTACAACGAATTCAAATGATTTCTTTAATACTATTTATTGGCAACAATATAAACAAGAAACACATAATGTTCCTTATATTTCTCAAGAAGAAAATGATCCATACTCTAAATATTCCACAAATTCTCATTTTTCAAAACATGAAAGCAATATTTTTCCTCTAACAAATAAAAATTCTAATGAATTGAATATTGAACAATTTTTAGCAGCATTGAGAGTTCAAACAAATTATTTACACATAGAGTTATATAAATCTCAGATGCTTCACAGATGAATAAAAAAGTGATGATTAAAATAAGTATTACAAATTTATATAATTAACAAAAACCAGT